TATATATATATATATATAATATATATATATATATATATATATATATATGTAATACAATTTAGTATTTGAGTAAAATATTTTATTGATACACATACTTCTCTAATTCAAATATTAATTGGACGTAATAATTCAATTTGATGAATTATTATTGTTCATAAATGTTGTGATCGTGAAGTTATTGTCGGTCCCATTTATCGTAGTGTATGTAATACATTAACACCCAACAGGCTTCAGCGACACCAGACCGGTGGGACCCAAAATATTTTCCACGTGGCATCTTACCACCATTTCAAAAAGGAGAACATTGCGCGGGCTCAACAGTTATTTCTCCAGAAGCTTCCCCTCCGTCGGTGAAGCTGGTGGCGGACGAAGAAACCCTACTTCTTTCGATCGCCCTCGCATAGGTTCTTGCTTGCGGAGACGACGCCTCGGGTGATCGGCGCTGTCTCGGCTAGGCGATGCGGCAACCAGATCTCTGTCTCGAGCACGGCATCGGCAAGGATGGCCTCCTCCTCCTCCACGGTTCCGCTACCCAGGTCCGTCCGATCCCTCATTCTTTGCATCGATCTCGCTTCGCTCGGTGCCGTCTCTTCGTTAGGTTTCTTGAACGGATGACGCCGGTGCATATGGTCATGCGTCTTACGAAAGATATAGCCATTGAAGATTCGAGCGGCTTCTTGGATTCCTTCGGTAGCTCACGAGGTGGGTTCTTGAATCTTTTCGGGGTTGCTTTTGATCTTGCCTGTTCCACCGTGCGATGCGACGGGTTCTTGAATCTGGTTGGAGTTGCTCATAAAAGTCTTGCCGCTTCCACCGTGCGATGCAACGGGTTCTTGAATCTGGTTAGAGTTGCTCATAATAGTCTTGCCGCTTCCACCGTGCGATGCGACGGGGTCTTGAATCTGGTTGGAGTTGCTCATAAAAGTGTTGCCGCTTCCGCTGTGCGATGCGATGGGTTCTTGGATCCTGTTCCAGTTGCTCAGAATAGTATTGTCTCTTCCGCTCTGCGTTGCGATGAATTCTTGAATCTTTTTCCGATAGATCTTCGAGGTAGTCGCCTTCTTTTGAGATATGCAATGGGATGGTTCATAATCCACACATCAAGAATTGAGGTCGCTAAAATTATGGTCACGTTAGAGAATTGCCATCTCTGTCCGCGATAGTTTCGGACAGATCCGTGGTCTAGTTGTCCCTTGCCCTAAGGGGAATCTTTGTAGGTTGTACCACAAAGGGCCTGAGCTCGTGAAATCCTTGTTCGTTCTTTTGGGTGCGCCAGACCTCATCTGATCCACTGACCTGTGACTTCTGGAATTTCCCCTGTTTTAGTTATTGCGCTAGGGTGAGTTGTTCTATGAACGATGAGGAAAACCAGTTGATGCTACTGTTCTTGGGGTCACAGCTTGCCTTTGTTAGTATTAATTATTATTATCTTTGTCATACACACGATCCCCTTGGTACTATGGATATGTTATTTTTTCCTGCTACATGAGTAGAAACAAATATGTGTTTATTGATAGAATAAGAAGTCTGGCTCATCTTAGCTATCTGTGGTTATAATACAAGCATTAGTTGCTGCTTTGTGGAGTTTCTGTTATTTTTTCTAACCATTTCTAGCATCTAGTTCTCTCTCTCTCTCTCTCTCTCTCTCTAGATCAGTTCTTATTTTTTCTTCGACCTTCCATCTATTTCATTATTCTTTTTTTCGATAGTTTGATAACTTGCGTTCAAAAGGTCTTTATCTCTCTCTCGCACATCCCTTTTCATTCTTTCACTGTCCGTCTGTTTTGTTATTCTTTTAGTGACAATTTGACATTGTCTTGATATGGGCTTCTTGCATGGTTAGACTTGGCTATTGTAGTTATCAATGATTTAAAAAGCGCTATGCGTCAAAAAGCGCCAAGGTCCAAAAACGGTCGAGGCGCTAGGCGCTCGCCCGAGCGAAGCGAGGCGCTAAAATATAAAAATACATAATATAATTAATAAATATAATTATTTAAATAAAAAATAATATAAATTTTAAAAAATTGGATACAAAATCATAATAAATAAATCATAATAGTATTTTTTAAATAAAAATATACTATTAAATAAATAAAAATTAATAGTATTAAAATCAAAATAATATATTATTAATCTAATAAATAAAAATACTATTATTAGTATACAGTTAGCAGTATATTGTTAATAGTATAGTGAGAAGAGTGTGAGAAGACCGAGGCTACTAAGGCAACGACAGCGGTAACAAGCGACAGCGGTAGCGAGAGCGGCGAGCGACCGCGGGAGTAGGAGCAGGTGCTGCGAGCGACAATGGGAGCGGCGAGCAACGACAACAGCGGCGAACAGCGATTGTGGCAGCGGCGAGCAGGGATAGTGGCAGCGAGCAGCAGAGAGCAGCGACAGCGGAGAAGAATTCTCGACGGCAAAATCGCGAGTGTTAAGGTTGGAGAAGTCGGGGAAATCGCGAGAGGGAGCCTGATATCGGTGATTTAGTTGGTTCGATTGAACCAACTAAAGCACCGGAGACCAACCATACCTAAAAATCTGGTTCGGTCGCTTGGTTTAACCCAGATGCTCGCTCGAAGCGCCCAGGCGACGCCTCTTTGAAGCGAGGCGCTTGGGCCTCGCCTCGCCTCGCCTCGCTCGAGCGCCCGAGCGCCTATTGAAATCACTGGTAGTTATAGTCACTAAAAAGAAGGTTACTCATGGAAAATGAATTGGTCAAATAAATACTTCTGATGAAATTAAATGATCTCATTATTTTTTGTCTTTCGTTGTGGAACTTCAGAAATTATCAGATTTGCATGTACTTTGGTGATCCTAAAATTTATCGTCTTAATTCACAATCTTGAAACCCTTAGGTTAGTATATAACGCTATTCTAGAGTTATAATCATCAAACTATAGTGCATTTTTTTATTGAAATAGTGCGTTCTCAGAAATCATTTCAGATCTGATTGCAAGGTCCAGCAGATAAGACTTTTTTAGCTTTTGCTATGTTGTTACTCTTCTGTCAAACTGAATCACATGTTTCCTTATTGTAATCCTGGACTATTAGGGGGTTACTGGTGCTAGAATATGCATAATAAGAACAAATTGATACATTGGTATGATTGGTTATGATGCTGTACTTGATGATAGTTTATGGTATTAAGTTCACTCCATGTATGAAGATCCTTCATACATATTTTAGAAGACGATCTTCTAGAAGTTATCTTTAGTAATACTAACACCTCTCCAGAATTATATATTTGTTTTATATGTCGCTAGTTGGAATTTGTCGACAACTATTGTTGTGTTACCTGAATATGTTTTCTTCATCTAGCAAGTAATACTATTTGCTTACTGGGCTTTTGTTGGGAAAAATTTTGGCTGCACTCAGTTTCATGTTTGTGTAACTTTTCTTTTTTCCAAAAAATAAAATATTATTAACTAAAGACAAGATTACAACAATTCTGCTAATCAGAAGTTACAGTTCAATCTCCAAGAAATATTTGCTTTCTAAATTTTTGCATAAGAAGCAAGGGAGTGGGCCGCCTTATTTGCATTTCTTTGTACACGTCGTAACTAAGTATGTTGAAATTTGGATAGGAGGTTTTCAATATTGCTGATGCAATTTTTCTTTCTACAATGTCTTGATGAGATTTATATAGTCACTTTCAACTTCCAAATTAGTTATTCGTTATTTAATAGCTGAAACTAGGCCCGTCTTTGATTGCCAATGCGTCAATGGCAATGTTTGTGTAACTTAAAATTCTATCAGTATGGTATAGTAATTCTGCACACAGGGAGCTGCACCAAGTAAGATCTACAACCTATTGGACTATTAGTTTAATGATGGGAAAGAGGCCTTCTCATTGAATCCCATGGTTTTGAGTGACACTGAATTACATTTTCTTGAGAAAATCAAACATTCTTCTGTCTCTTTATATACAGTCACTGACACTTTTATCTAATAATTGCAGGGAGCAGACAGGATGTCTCTATGATCAACTTTACACATGAAGATATGTTCTAGTGGACCTAGAACAACTGATGGTATACAAAATAGTGAATACAGGAACCTTTACAGTCATGGAACATATTTGAGTCAGGTATGTGGACATGGTTCCAGATAACATCAGTTTATCTTGTTTTTTTTTTCCTTGCATTAAGTACAAGTGCTTATTCTTTTTAATGTTAGTGCAATCAAGTTGAGTTATTTTCTGTTTTCCAGTCAATCAGACAACAACATACTACGTTTTGTGATACCTTGTTTGCCATGTCATCTGACATCTGTGCTGCATTGTTTCTTGACTTGGTTCACTATCTTTGATGGAAAAAATTTAACAAATATATTTAAGGCGGAAGTCCTATCATTTTGGTGTTAGGTACCAAAACCTTTCCTATGGACGTCCATGGTGGGGCTTAAATAATGCCAAGTGCAATTCCTGATGTGATAATTGAAAGACCAAAAAGACCTAAAAAGTGTTGAAAGTTTAGATGGGTTAAATGCCTTAAACTTCTTATGCAATTTAGTTGATCTATAATTCTAGTTAAGTTTGTGACAATGTATCGGTACACCAATGTGTATTGGTATTTTAAAAAGGGATCAAAAGTTAGTTCAAAATTAAACAAATTTATTTTAGGATTCTTTCTCGTAAAGTCTTCGTACTTAAATTATATCTACATGAGAATAAAGTGTCAGGTTATATATATATATATATATATATATATATATATATATGCCTTTCTTTAGGAGCAGAAAGGGTATTGATTAGTCAAAAATCATTGCATGAGAATTGATAGGTAATTAGTGTTGTTACTAGTCAGATTTCCATCATACGTATGACCAAGGATATATATTCTCGGAGATCATGTGAGGTTTTCTTCTCAACGTCTATGGCCGATACATGACAACAATAGACAGGTGTTACATCGTGTTTGGTTTTCTTCTCAACATATATATGCTCGGAGATCAATGATCTGATCAATGACAACAATAGCATGCTAAAGAAATCCTAGGAAGGAACAAAGTCACAATTGTTAAAGTTTCAATGAAAAGGTAGGAAGGAACAAAGTCCCTTCATTGAGTGTCGAGAAACACCTGTGTTAGCTCTATTTCTCTGTGAAGATTCAATGAAAAGGTAGGCCCAATTGTTCTCAGCTTTCCTTTTGGTTTAAGGATCCATATCAGAAGAAAACTATGCAAACTTCCTTCCATGCAACTTTAATAGATAATAAAAACATTTGACAATTGAATATAATTTTTTTTATTTATTTCTATAAATAAATCCTAAAAACGAGCTGCTTGTCTAATTTGCTCGAATCTTCTCCCTGCACTAATAACTTGAGAAAAGAATCTAAAGCCATGGTGGTAAACTAGAAATATTTTGGTGCTTAGCTACATTCGATAGAATATAATGATATTCTAAAACTAAAATCCTTATCATGGATTCTAAAACTGCACAATAAATGAGAAGAAAATCTAAAGCTACATTTGATATAACAATCTCAAATTTAAGAACAAATGAGTCCACTGTCTGCATATATGAATGCTAAACCACCTGCACAGCAAATGATAAGATTCACGCATCAGTTACAAATTTACTCCACTAGTATGTACACAGGTAAACACAGTTACAAATAAATGAGATGGCACTGTTCCCAGCAGCAAAAGTTTAGCCCTTTAGGAAATTCTCAAGTATATTATAAGATGGCACTATTCCCGGCAGCATGTCAGAACCCTAATTACTTTGACAATACAATTACTCTAATCCTACACAAAATTTGACAATACAATTACTTTGATCTGAATGAAACAGACAAAGTAACCACATAAAATTACTCACCGGATGGCTGACAGCAAAGCCTTCTCCAATCATTAGGAGCCATAGTTAGTCGTCACCTTCATCGTCATCACCAGCAACACCTTTTGCTTTAATTCCGTTAGTTTCTTCATCAGTTTCAGCTGTGGTCACTCTATCGCCCAATGGTTCATCATCCTCATCAGATTCTGACCAGGCTCGCCTCTTTCGATTTATTGCAGTTGAGTGGGCACCCTAACATAGAAAACCAACCGGAAAAGACAGGAAAGAAAACAATCCATCAGGGCGGCTATAATGCACAAACATAACAAAGGAATCTTGGAAACTAATGCACAAACATAATCAGAAATTTTCTAACAGTAGCCCTCCTAAATCATTCGATGGACAGGTATGAGAAATAAATTTAATTAACTAGTAAATTTAATTAGACTAGTAAATTTTCTAACAGTAACCCTCCATAATCAGACCAGCAGCGATAAGATCATTTTGTAGTAAATTACAAAGGAAGGGCAAATGTTTTACCAAATCATCTTCAGCATCCGAGTCTTCAAGACCAGCAGCGATAAGATCATTTTGTGCTTTCTCTACACCATCATCCTCATATTCATTCATGGCATTTGTGTCTTCCTCTAAGTCTTCATGCTCGTCCTCCATGTCAGCCTCTTCTTCATAATGAGTCTTCATCTTCTTCTCCTTCTTCCTCCTCTTACCACCTCTTCGTCTCCTCCTGTCACCACCTTCTTCATCTTCAACCTGAGATCTCTCTCTCCGTTTACCAGCAGTATTGCTGGAATGCTTCCATTGCTCCTGAACAAAAAAATGTGAAAGATCAATAAAGATATCCACATTGGTTATAAGATAAAGATGAGTGAGAATGAGGATAAAACAAATTAAAAGTACTATGACATCAGATGATCATACTCGAATAAACTAATTTCTCCTAGAATATAAATAAATCTGCTTTAATGACTGATAACAGTTGCAGCATAAAAACTGCATAAATAAATCTGCTTTAATGACAGAACAACTCTACCTTAATACGTTCAAAATGTTCTTCTTGTTGCATCACTTGTTTAAGCTCATCCTCTTGCTTCCTTTTCTCCAACTGGTTCATCATGGATATTTCAAGATAAGGTCTCAATGTCTGATATCTAAAGTTGTAGGTGACACTTGAATTAAACACTGAGCACATTAATGTCAGAATATAGAAACTTGCCTGAAATTTCCTCTGTTCTTCAGCCTTACGTCGAGCTTCCTCAGCCAAGGAAACCTGTCTAGCAACTTCCAGTCTTTGACGATTCTGCTGCTCTTCACGTTCAGCTGCTTCACAATGAACTTTAGCAGCATCAAGCAAATGCTTGCAGTATTCAACATGAGTTTCAAGTTTCTTCTCATCAAATCCATGAGAATGGTAGATGGAAGCTGCAGATAACTGGCTGAATATACACACAGCATTCTTCAATTCTGTGACAGTTGAGCGTACCTATTGAAAACCCATAATACACAATATTTTAATAAACAAAAGTCGTGCATAGACGTAAGTTTCTGAATGCAGATGCACCAAAATATAATTTTCTAAAGACATGAAGTTTGATCTGTGAAAAAAATAAAGAAGTTAATAGCATATACTATTAGTCACAATATATGATTAGTAAATCCAAAATATAACTTTCTAAATACATGAAGTTTGATCTGTGAAAAAAATAAAGAAGTTAATAGCATATACTATTAGTCACAATATATGATTAATAAATCCAAAAAAAGCAAGTCGCAACTACAGTTACACCAGCTCATGCAGCAGAGCCTCATAGTACAAGGTGTTCTCTATGTTTCTGCATCACATACATGTTATAAAATTACATCATATTAAATTGATGATAGTCACAATACCAGATTGTTGTGTTTACTGACCTCATCAGCAGTTCTTTTTGTCTTTTGTAGTGTTGAAGCTGAAAACTTTTGCATTGCAACTCCTGCATCAAATCGAAGTGTATAATTTGAGGGTGCCAAATGAATGGCTCTCAGAAGAGTTTTTTTGCACTCCTGCCATTGTTCAGCCTCATAATGGGTACGGGCTAAGTACTGAAGAACATGGGTGTCGGTGTTGTAGTAAAACTTTCGCAAGCAGTTCTGATACTGTAAAAGAGTATCTGTCATGTTATATTTATAACCAACCAACTGAACAGAAGAATTAACATAAATAATATGGTTACCATTTTGGCAGCCAATGCAAAATGCCCTTGTGCAAAGTAGACATGGGCCAGATTGACCCACACATCTGGCATCTGAACGAATACACTGCCAGATGCTGCTTCTTGGACCTATATCCAATAAAAATCTTTTTTAAATGAGAAAAAAATGTTAAGTATAGATGTTGACCAAAAAGCCAATTAAATTGACCTGCGTAAATATATCCTTCGAAACATCAAAGTGACCTTTCTCAGCCAATACAATTGCAGCACCATTGGCAGCATATAAGTTGCTGGGGTGCTGCATTAAAACCTGTGAATAAGAGTTTCATATTCCACAGAGTTAAAACAGGATTGTGTTGACATCATTAAGAACTTCAGAGATAAAACACAACCACAACAAAAACTCAACATAATGAAAAAAATCTCATGAGAGGAGTCTGTCAGAAGTACAATTTGATTTTAAGATGATGTCAACATGATTTCTGCTGGACTTTCACAAATAATAGCATTGAACATTCACATACAAACTTAACCATATGCAGGATAACCACAAAAATCAATTAGCAAAAGAACCCATTGAAGATGCTTAGAATATCTACAAGCAATCATCAGAAACATAAGACAGATACATATGATGTGTGGTTTTGATCAAGCATTTAAGTACCAATGGCACAAGAGATACCAGCCAGCCAATAAAATGGTTTGATTTCTTTTGTACCAGCTTGAGCACAATTGCCAGCTTGACCATGTCTCTCTTTTTCAAATCATTGGCTGCTTCTTTCTTTCTCGTGAGACTGCAAAATTTGAGGGAGTCAACCGTGTAGGCATGAACTAGATCAATTTGGTCCAGTTCAACCATTTTTAAATGAACAACTTGAAACAGGAGGTTTTGCATTTTGTTCCCATGTCAAGACATGGGTGAAATAGTACATTTTTGTTCAGAATTTAAATCCAGGGTTTCGATTATCAGAAAAGGTGAAGTGTGGAATATCTATTACAGGCTGGTTATTTTCAAGGTATGAAGTAAACAATTTGATACTGACGTACAATATGAGTAATTTGACGACCTATTCAGTAGACCAATAAATTTACCTTCCAAGCATTCACTCACAACCAAGATTTCACTCAAATCTAACAGACAGCAATATCAAGTCCTTGGTGCCCATAAACCAAGTACTTGACTGGTGGCATATACCAGTACAAGGGCAAGTTCTTCATTAGCAGCATCAGTAAAGCAAGAAAAATGTTGGGCCCCATAATGTGGTACAAGTATTTAGAAATTATCAGTTATTCTGAAGGGCAGTCTTATTTGTTGTCATGCAAGTTTCAGAATGTTATCAGAATTCACATAATTCGTCCAACCTTGAAAATGGCACCTAAGATCCAACCTATAAAGTGACACTTTAATATAATTCAGATAATTCAGATAAGATAATTCGTCCAACCTAAAGTTACACTTTAATATATGCAGATGGAGCAATTTTTTGTTGTAAGCATAATTTTATTGCAAATAAGTAACTAGGACATCAGATGGATTACTCGAGTTGAGATACACTTTTCTGGTGGTTTCATGCGTAAAAAGCCCTAGTTCATGAAGCAGCGCCTCTGAATAATGGTAGTTTTAGTGAGATTTTCTTCCCATACAGGACTATGATGGAGGAGCATATTAATAGCAAAGTAGGAAGCTCTCATGACAATATAAATTAGAATAAAGACTTTAAGCAAGCATTTGGCTAGACAACATTGGCAAAGAATTTTCTTTCACTTGTTCAGCAGTTTATGAAATTGAATTATAGGAAAAAGTAAATATAACATTGTTTTTAATGTTTAGGCCACTTTAAAAACATCGGCAAAGGGAGGAGGATGGCTTACTTTAGGCCACTAAAAGCCAATGTGAAACTTTAGGAAGCTTGATAAGCATCAATCTAAGCTATTGTTGTAAGAAAAGTAAATGTCAGTCCTATGCTCGGATGAAAAATGTGGAGGATTGCTTTAGACCACTAACAGCATATCTGAGACTTTGACAGATTTGATGAGCATGGACTTTAACTGAATAGTCCAAGAAATAATTGAGGCAAAGGAAGTCAAAGTTACATTGTGATCCTAGAACTATAAACAGGACAAAGTAAACATTATTTGGAAAAAGTTATGGAGGTTTACTCCCAGTTTCCCAAGATTCAAAGGTGATCACTAATAAGTAATCACAGGCTTCAACAAATCAAGTGGACCCAAGCAATACAAGTGTGGAACCCATTCACTAGGGAAGCAAGTTTATAGTTCATGTCAGTCAGATGCAGGATGATTTGCCTACATGCATGCACGTGCAGTTTAAGCATTCAACGCATTCAACCTCCAGAGAGCTCTGTGTCGAATTGTGAATACATCAGAACAAATACTCAGATACTTGACAATTTTAGCTCTAGCGTTGCAAAAAATGATCAGGGTATAGGCGATCACAGCACCACACCAGACTGCTTTATGTTTAGATATCAGGAAATATGCAACAATTAATACAACCCAAGAAGTAGATTAAGATGTTCCAATTAAAACAACTTAAGGATAATGTCAATATCATTGAAAAAGCATAAGAATAGGGTACTTTCTGAAAAAGTCTTAAGTGTAGAATGTTCCAATTAAAAGGCAACGGGAACAGTTTTTTCATCAATTTTTCCACAAATACGATCTCAAATGGAATCAGAAATTCCACTGAGAAGGATGATTGTGAAGAAATTACACTATTAATTATATATTTCAAAGCATGTAAAAGAAGCTTAGGTCACTTTGGATGGTTCCAAAATTGAATCAGATTCAATATAGTAGATGAATCCGGAAAGGTTGGAATCAATGAAATCTGTATATATTTAAAAAAAAATCATTATCGAGATAAGCATGAGCTGTCTAGAAAGAGGACAAAAAAGAAGCCAGATAGGCTAATAAATGGTAGAGCATTCCCTTCAAAAATTAGAGTGGACCTTAGACGTAGTGGCTAGACAATTGCTCTATCTATTGTCAAGAACATATCCCCAATTTCATGAGCGAGGAATTCTATTTCATCTATTTTTTGAAGTGCAATGTGTGTTTTCTCCACTTGCAATAGGAAAAATAATGAATTTATCCCAAGCATAAATCCTCCACATACAATAAATGGTAGAGCATTCCCTTCAAAAATTAGAGTGAACCTTAGACGTAGTGGCTAGACAGTTGCTCTATCTATGTCAAGAAGAACATATCCCCAATTTCATGAGTGAGGAATACTATTTCATCTATTGTTTGAAGTGCAATGTGTGTTTTCTCCAACTGCTATAGGAAAAATAATGAATTTATCCCAAGCATAAATCCTCCACATACAATAATAGGAGAATGCATCCAATTCCGACCTACACCAATGATGTTGGATCACGAATGATGAGTATGCACATAAGTATTTTACCGGAATTATATATTATTTTGTGTGAAGGCAGATGACAATTACATGACACTACTCCATTTGTTGTTGGGTTGGGAGTATAATATGATTCCTCTCAGTCTAGACAATTACATGACCCATTCCATTGGAAGACTATGCTGGATGTTCATGCATAATAATCTATTTGAGCAGGAAATCCTTTATCATGATGATTTATTCATGTCCTCGTACTCCTCTAGCACATATCAATACTTGATTATATGGATGATATCTACAATTCTACATTGATCAGCATATTTTTAACAATCATTTCCATGGAATCTTGTATTTCCACTAGGCATTTGTGCTCATGAAAAATCTATTTTCCAGTCCAACCTATGATATGAGGTTAGAGATCCTTGCTAGATCCAAGTTAGCAAGGTAGCTGAAGTAATTGTTGGAAGTCATATTCGGAATTGGAAAGTGATTTACGTAAGGCAGGATCTTTGTTGGTACACAAATTAAATCATATGGAGGTGTAATAGTCCCACTTATGAATATCGGAATTGGTGCAAAGATGGTCTTCCTCTATCCAAACATCAGTTGCATCCTTCTACAAATTCCTGCATTTTGTAGGTAGAGGGTGTGACTTTCACAAATTCCTTTCGAAGCTTCACCTATATCATCAAAAGACAAACTTTTTATATTGATGGCTCTAAACAACAAGGTCAACTTCAATGAAATTCTTTTCAACAGTTGGTAAATCCTTGCCCTTAGTAAACAAAGAGGCCATCTCAGTGACTGGAACTTTAGTCGCCCCAGTCACAACCAACCCACCCCTCATGTACTTGTTTGAATCATTAATGAAATAAGCTTGCTAGCATGCAAACCTTGCTGTTTTGCATTAAAAAAAAGAAATGGTGACAACTGACTTCAAAGATGAGAATCAACAACTATGGATGACCCGAGGATCACCACAACAGTAATCTCATCGAATCACCGATCAAGGGCTTACTAAGGGAAAGACAAAGTAAGAGTATGCAATTGAAGATGTAGCAACATATGTTGGTGAGGTCTCCATTAATTGTGTTTCAACAAAATACAAGTTCAAAGGTACAAAGAACTAAGAAGAGTGGTGATTAATCACAAAGGCCGGAACCACATTGCAAACTTAAGTTCAATTCAACTTTGAATTTCATCTAGCTTGGTTTCATTCGATTTAGGTGGTAAAACAAACAACATAATTGATTTTGTTAAAAAATTGTGGAAACCCAAGCCGAATTGAATACACCACAGAACAGGATCAGTCCATTAAGTTCAAGAAAATTGCAAAAGAGAAGATAGACAACTGCAGATGTTGACATAATGTATGAAGTAGCAAACAATAAAAGAATACGCTTACTTTGGTGTACAGCTCCTTAGCCTTTTCAAGATGGGTTGCTTCCAACTTGGGACCTCTTTTCTCATTACGTATAGCTGCAAAGTAGTTCCAATTTCCCTAGAAAAAGTATCAAAAGGATAAAAAGAACATCAAAAGAATAAATCCTACTTATAGAGATTCAAGGTAAACAATATGGAGACCAATGCACAGTGTGCCTACAAGCTAAACTCCACAAAATAGTATAGATGAGAAACATACACACCAAGGCAAGAGTAGCATAGGAATCTTTTCCATCAGTCGCATCTTTAGCAGCACGGAATGTATCTTTTGCCTTAACCCAGTCATCAATCTTAAGTTCCAGGTCACCAAGCAAAGATAGAGCATTGGGGCATTTGTCATCTACTTTGAGAGCATCAGTTATCTACAAATAAAGCATAAGTTACTTGGCTTAGCCCTATAAGAATAAAAAGAAGCTATGTTGATGTAATACCAATTCAATGCTTAGTTGGATGTTGTTTCGTGCTATTGCCATGGCAGTCAGTCTCAAATAAGCATCAACATAGTCCGGATACTGGATGGAAAAGAGACAGATTAGTGTGCATGACAAAATTATATAAGCACATTGAAAGTAGTTCCATGGAGTAAAATGTAGCAAAATTATAATAGACACGAATTCACAATGACCATTTTTTAGCAATAACCAGAAAATAGATACCCAATGAATCACTTAGAACTTCCACATCATGCATTATAGTTTCAGAAGAAACAAAAGACAAGATCTAAACTTGCTAGATAGATGAATAGTGGCACTTCTTATCAATTGCTAAAAGATGAAATAAAGCCTTCAAAGTAGCAACATGTCCAATTATAAGGCAAATTATTTAAAGGCACGTCAGATGGTGTCTGAAACACAAGATATACACTTGTATAAGAATGTGACATCTTCTAATAAAACAAGAATGGCAGTACGAACTAACATCCCCCCACTGTTCTAGTTCAGCACAAGACCAGAGCCATGGATGCACATATTTTGTTCTATGACCATGGCACAGTATAAGACACCCATGCACCTTGGCAGCAAGATACCATGCTGGCTTACATTGAATTGACATCAAATCCTAAAGTAGGCAAGAAAAGAACTAGAAAAAATTGTGAGGCTAGTTGGTGGCTAAAAACTATACCATAACCAAGGATGGAGGAAGTAGAGACTTGGAAAAGCATACATAACTTGGGAATGTCTACCTGACCTTTCATGCACCCATCTCACCCCTCTATAGCATAAGAGGACTAAATTTCCTTCTATGTTTGTTTATTAAAAGCAAAAAAGAATGCAATCACATATAAGTTTTCTTTATAGAAAGTACAGTCAAGTGAGAAATATTAAATCTACTCTCATGTATTTCTCTCTCGATATCTGATTTAACCAAGGTTCACAATTTTCTGAATCGATAACGTCAATCAGGCTCAAACCGGTACCTACCAGATTTTTTCAAAAAAAAAAAACTAAAAAAAGATAGAGAAAAAAAATTGTTGAATGCATGGTTCGCCTTACCGGTCCATATCGGTGTACCGATCAGCTATTGGTTCGATACATACCGAGCTGTACTGAGCATACCGACAGGTAGTACATGGGAGTGTACCAATGTACTGCCTATACCAATCCTCCTATCGGACCAGTACATACCGCTCATACCAAATGGTATGTTACGGTATGGTGAACCTTGCTTGAACGTTACTCCGTAGTCCATATAGTGCTAAGCTATTGGACCGGTAAATACCACACATACTGAACCATTCCAAATGATATTGCAAAACTTGGTTTTAAAGTAAGTTTTAAGATTATCTTTTGCAAGTATCGGTTAGGGTTGAGGCTGAAGACATCAGGACTACTACAGCCACGTGCAAGACTTGTATTTTTAAGATACAAAACTCAACAGTAATAGAATGCATTTATGGAGTGACAACCCCTCGCACACCTTCAAGAGCAATCCAACGCTGCGATGCCTCTGTCTTGCTCTTAATCGCTTCCACATCTGACCCTTCCCATGTGTCTGCCATGCCATCTCTCTATAAGACTCGGGTGATAGGACAACAAAGAGTTTTAAACTTTTAATTAGGAAAAGCTCATCGAGCCTTATCCAAGTCTCACAAGGAGCAGCCAGACTCTGTAAAGATCAGGTGGGATACTGCCTCCAATTTGTGTGGACCCGAAGCACCTATCTGTCACCACTAGTGGGTTAGGCTGATGCTAAAAAATAGAGGGAACAGAAGCTATGATCGAAGGGCAGTTCTGTCTATATTTTCCCAGACTAATTAGGCTTTAGTTTTTAGAACAAACTAAAGAGAGGCAGCTTGCTAGACCCAAAAACATGTCAAGGCTGCTATATTCTATTCTATTAATTTTTTATGCAATTCTCCAAAATTATTTTTAATCTAGTTTTCCTTATATAAATTCTTTGGACACATCTAATGTACCTTAATTGAAGTAGCACCAATTAGGAAGTGTTCTCCAGACAAACAAGCTGGTCCAGACCCCTTTTAAAATTTAATCTTGATAAGGATCATTTCGTGTGCCAACTACTAAAGCTCATAAATCTAACTGGTATTTTGAAACCTTGGTTAGAGGATATACTTCATAACTTTATATCATGATAAATGATTTACTTAACAAGCATCTCAAACCTATTAAGCATAATAGAAAGTTTTTTAGATTAAAATGACAATGTAGATAATGTAGCAAGGTCTCTTAAGAAGGTTGCACTATCTTAATTTCATACAGATGGCATAAAGATCCACATATATGAAAATAAAGTTCCTGCAAATAAATTCCTAATTTTTTTAAGAAGTTAAATACTTCAAGAAAGTAGGAAGTATCTAGGTGCCCACCATATCCAACAAGTAATCTACAAGTATAATTTGAAGAATCCACATTTTATAGCTAAAAACATCAGATAAGTAATACATAAATTAGTGCTTAAAGCAACCTAGGCTGGACACATCACAATCGTTGTGGAAAATTATATCTTAGTAATGATTTCAATGATGAGCCACACCAGTCACATTTCTCCATCTCGAAAGGTCGATGATGAACTTTAGTACTTGTCTTTCACTTAATCAAATAATTGAAATAGTTGCAAGTACTTCGATGCACTTTCACTCAGAAAGCACCAGCAAAAAACTAACAATGTTACTTTTAAAAAGGCCAATGGCTAGATGCACTGAAAGGGATGAAGGCACAGACCTTGAACAAAATTAGCCGGTACATATTGCTTGCCTTCTCAGTGTCATTTACTTGTTCAAGTAATCTGGCATAGTTGAAAAGTGTGGTGACTTTATTCCAAGGCAATTCAATGCATGACCCATCTTCTTCGAGCTGATGAAATAGACTAAAATCCTTGTACTGGAAAGAGTAGTAGGCACTGCGGTCTATACTCCTAGTCAAAAATGAAAGCCATATGCCATCGCCCAATGCTTCCTTAAAAGTTTGTTCAGCCAACTGAGGAAGTAGAAAAAAAAAAAGATAACTTCTGCTTCATATATGAATAACCAGTGACTCAGTGAAAAAATCTAGCCTAAATTTTAAAAAAATAGGATATTTTTTTGGTTACATATAAAACACCAAATAGTTTCTCTTATAACAAATTGACAAAAAGAGAGAAGAAGATGAGACTCTTTTAACAAACCTCAAATTCTCCCTTTTCAAAGTATAGAACTCCAATATTGTTCATTAACTCTATTGGTACTTCTTGCCCTCCTTTCTTGATGAGGTTGCGAGCCTGTGATATCATGACAGTTCAAAATGAAAACACCTGATCAGTATTCAAAACTGAGATAGAAAAACTCTTGTAGTGAGCAGAAAATGCATAACTGCATGAGTTCTCTGACTAATGTAAATGCTAATTGCACAATCAGAAGATTGTTATGAATAAGTATGACAAAACAATACAAGGAAATGGTATGATATCTCCAAAGCTACAAGGTTGACAAGATCCTAAACTGTACTAGCAGGCGAAATCATAAATTAGGTTTAGATGATATTAAGCTGAGATTTCACCACATACACAATGAACACAGGAAGGAATCATTACACAACCTGAGAATTTATGTAAAAGACTAAAAGAGAACATGTAATGTATTAATGCTAGCAATGGAATCATAATCAGCAGTAAGAGAAAATCTGTAAGGGTAGCCGTGAGCAAGTTTAAGATGTTGCCTGTGTCCAGCAGATGTAAGCCAATATGTTATTTTACAAGGTGACTGCTGAAAGCTATTTCAGTAAATAACTAACATATGCCCAAAACCAGATAAGGCATGTCCTGAAGACACTTGGCATACCATATTAGTTACTTGTCATCACAAGTATAGTACATAGGGTCTAAATGACAGGAAGTGAATGGTTCTTGAGTTTCGCATATTTGAATACCTAGCGAGTATTATTTATATATTTATATAAAGTCAAAGAAACTCCAATTTTCAAGTAGCAAATCCAATTATTATTTGGATCTAAGCAGCCTGAAGTTATTAAATGAAACCTGAAGAAAGAAAATTCTGAAATCAATAAGGTAGAAGAATTTGCATTAATGAGCTTGTAATTTCCTAGACATATTTAAAAATGCAGAAACTAAGACCAGATAACAAAGATGAAAGTTAATAAAAGAACTAGGACCAAATAAATGAAGATGACAGTTAAGGAAAAAAGACAATGTTTTCCATGTCAAAAAAAATGACAAACAGCATAAGTTCAGTATAATGAATCAAGATGGCAGGTTTAATTTCATAATATATTTTATTTGTGTTCACAAGGATGTCATTGCCCTCTTAACCCATGGCCAACCGATTTCACACGTATCTGAGTCCTTAGACCAGTTCCAGCCAACTGAAGCCGCATGCTCAACTATAGCTTAAACGATATTCCCACTAGACCACTTTTAAGAACATTAACTACGGGACTTTGATTACACCTTCAAACGAAATAGCAAGATATACATTATGGGCCTATCACATGGTTATGTCATGCTTATTTCATAATTATGGCCAAATAATTATGCAAGAAGAAAGCTCATACAGTTTTGAACACATCCAGCGCAGCCCCAGCATCTGATGATATCAACAGCTCACCAAGTTCTGTGAATGCCTGCAACCACCTTTACTTAATGCAATGACCACAAAGTTGTAGGACAAAGAACTGCTTAACAAGAAATAAGAAGCATGCACTAAAAAAGCATCATTAAATGCAAAAGAATGCGAAAGATTATCTTCATAATGTGTATAACTGTAATTAGAGGTAGTCTCCCTTTGCATGACACAGTGCCATGTGCTGGAACCATGCTAGCATGTGTCGGCATGATCAGCATGTCAGATACTTGACTCATGATCTAAATGCAACTTGATTTTGGTCATTACAAATTTAATAAGTAATGTTATTTACAAAGTCAACAAACAGTAGCAGAGCAAAGAAGCTATTTAATCTATAACAATCACTACTCAAGAAATTAACTGCACAGGAAATAGGCTACCAAGAAATGTTCAAAGGTCAACAAAAGAAGTGATCAAAAGAAGACCAGTACATTGGGTTGGGACTTATCATGATGAAATCAAAGATAAACCATCAAACAGATAATTATATAGAGTTGCACAAATTGGATGTACCACAGAATCTTTTGGGTCAATTCTGGTAGCCTTACGGAATGTATCTACCGCTTTGTCAATCTCACCAAGCTGGGAATATATATGTCCGACAGCCTGTAAATATAAGGAAAATGTAACTGCTAAGAATTATGACCAAAATTCTACTCTTAAACAAGAAAGAACAACAAATTAAAGCCTAAGCTATCGTTAGTTTGCAATGTCACTCACCTTTAGACTTTCACAATTTTCAGGATGAACCTCCAAAACCTTTTCAAAGCTTAAAAGTGAACTTTTAAAGTCTCCTAGCTTTAGTTGAACTTGACCAAGACCTATTCCAATGAATCAAGCATATTACAAATACCATGACAGATAAAAAGAATGAAAAAATCACAAAAGCATAGTGCAAAATAGATGAACAATTGCATGAAAAAATGTTGAAGATTGTTATAAAATTAGTATGATTTATTTTTTATATCCATAGCCACAATGCAGCTTGAAATTAAGCAACATAAACAGTTAGTCTGACACATTTTTTAACAGGATGAGACTTGTCCTACTTGAAAGCATCTTTGTCCCAGTATCAGGGGTCCACCTGAAGTGCTTCTCAAGGACAGTTGGAATGGCAAGATGGCATAATCTGCTGGCAACTGCCACTAGACCTGAAAGCTTGGATAGGATTTCAGTAATTGATTATTGTATGTAATAGTAGAGTAGCATTAGGTGGGAGCCAGAATAATTACTGATTTTTCCCCTTGTGCTTGCCTTTTAGACTACTGATCTTTATATATGCATATATTTGTTCATGTATGAACTTATATTAACAGAGTAGGCACTTCACTGCTTTAATTATGTGTTTAAATGTATGAAAGATTTTCTTGTTACACATTTACAGTAGGTAACTGAACACTGGACACAACTGTCATTTGCAGGATTAGCTTTAGGATAAGTCTTATGATACTAAATAAAGCCTTAAAAAAGCATCAATGTGTACCTTTTTTAGTCTGATTCCTTAGAATATTCTACTGATTTAATAAACACAATTTATTTTCAACAATTTCACCATCCAAGTTGACCTTTAAATGCATTTGTCACACATTTGCACTAAGTTACTTGTACATAGTTGTCGTGTGTAGAATCAGCTAATTCTACTCCATTTTGCTTTAGAAGCAGATCTATTAATAAATAAGACCTTAAATAAACATTAACAGATGCTCCTCTTTTGCTAATTCTTATGATATGCTACCGGTTATCCATCTTGTTTAGGTATGCATAACTTCTACACAAGTTCCAACATACCCCAACTACATCTTGTTTAGGTATGCATAATTCTTATGAGTTGGACAAAAGGTGGCCCAATGCACGAGGTTCCCATTGATGCATGATCTGGGAGACCAGTGTAAAATTAAATATGTGAGCAATGTTGCTGTTTTGTTAACTTGAATCCTAGTTACCCAGATCACAACTGAGAAGCTTTACTATGGTGCCAAATTGCCAATTATAATTCAAAAATCATATTGAGAATATTAACGATTTAGAAATAAGAGAGAATAAAGTAACATCATGCGTGAAATATATTTTAATACTTATCAAAAATTTCAAATCATATTATAAAAGTATGAAACATATTTTAAACAATTAAAAAAATTAATTAATAATGTTTTATCACTATTTGTTATTTATACTAATCTAAAGTTCAAAGTACATATTAAAAGCTCAGAACAAATTTAAACATTTTAAAAATGACTTCTTTCATGAAAACACACAATATATATGTATCAATTATACAAATTTTATAAATCACCCCAAAAGAACTTTCTCAACTTCATAAGCAAAATAATATGCGGGACTTCATATTTTTTAAAAGAGTCATATCCTTGGTACTTTCTCTAGACCAGGGACCATGAAACTCACCATATCCAGGTCTCGCAGTCCATTGACAATCCTAGGGTGGAATGATAGGCTTGCAGCTGGAGTGAACTATAATCCCATTTTAGGCAAGGACTTGTTTTGAAGACTCTTATTTGTGAAATCTACTGTTAGATGTGATCCAACAGTAGTAAAAACTGTATATGAAATACACATTACATACCTACATAAAATATAACGGTACGCAGATCAGGTCATTGCCAAAACAAATTGACAGAAAGTATGATTTGAATCATCAAACCAGATCATGATCTAAATCTGATTAGTTCTGGTCAAATTTGATCCATTGCCAGCCCTAAGGTGATCCACCAGTGAATCATTAGAACTGAGATGTCTCACTTTTTGAACCAAAATACAACAAGATGCTCCCCGATAGTTGTTCAGACCTTTGCAACTTCACTTTTAATATATTATTATTACCCACTTGACAATATCACCTAAATGAACAACAGTGTCATGGTCTCGAGTCTTGACCGTACTGGTTGGTATAGTCCGGTTTACTTTAAGATGAACAGCCGTAGAGAAGTAGGTAGTTACATACCATAATATGGCAAAACAAATTCTTGCGGTTTACTGGTTTCTTTGACAGATGCCATGTAGTACCGCAATGCCTTCTCAAAATCCCCCTGCATAGGCAATTGTAAGACACTGTTCACTTGGTCCCCAAAAAGACAATACTCAAATAAAAGACTGAGATGCAGAGTTAGTAATAATAATAATCAATAGTTAAACTAGAAAACGTTGATCAAAAGTCCATCACAAGATAATCATAGCTGTCGCACCTTGCTGTGGTATGATCTTGCCAGGTTGTAGTAAGAATGTGCCTTCATCAATCCATGGCTACTCACAGCCAGAGCAGTCTCGGTTAACTGTTCAACCAGAAAATGCTGACCAGTAAAAAAGAAGTGATTGGCTAAACAATTGAGGGCCATTGGACAATAAGGATGAATCTCAAAAGCTCCTTGCATTTTCTCCATTCCTTTTTTAATACCATGAGCTGTAATTAACAAATACGACAAAAGAATTACATGTGATCCAGAATCTGAGCTTGGGTAATACAATTTTTTCTAATAATAGAAACCTCTCTATAATATATGTATGAAAAAATGGAAATATGATATGATTACTGAAGTACGGATAATTCACCTTCATTGGTTTGCAAATCCATTACTCCAAGAGCTACTAAAGCTTCAACATTATCTGGATCCAACTGCAAATTTCAGGGAGTAAAAGAATATATAAGATGGGAGACAAAGATTACATCAACATATGTAAACCATTGATGCAGATTTGCCTGAAGAACTCGCTGAAAAGCCTGTCGAGCTTTTTCAAACTGACCAAGTTTGTAGCGGCAAAAGCCAATACCAAGTCTCACAGAGGCTGGACAACTTGGATTTATTTGCAATGCTCTCTGACCAATGTTAAAACAAGTTAATAGCATATTCCAAAGAAAAAATTAGAAACACATCAACATCAATGAAACATTTATTTTTTTGGAAATGACATGTATTACACAAAAGAAATGAACCTTATAAAACTCTAAAGAGCTCCTGTATGAATCCATGGCTTTTTTGTAATGTTCTTCTCTCTCTGCAATATTGAAATCAACACAAGCCTGAAGAGAGGAAATTCTATATTTAGACTGCTGTAATCAACAAACATGTCCAGTAAGATAATAGTTTCAGCAAGCAAAAAAATGTGTCTCAATACATTAGTTGGCGGATAAGCAGAACAACAAAGATCTGCAAAGATTAATACAATTAAGAATGATTCACATAAGCATATCAAACAAATGGTGTCAAACTTTCATCATGGTAGTAAAATTGATTTAGTTAAAAGTAAAGGGAAGAACAGCAGTCAAACAACTTGTATACGTGTATAACTTCCATCTCTATCCCCTCTTTGGCACTTGAAATGTACCTTATAGATTAGCAGCAGTCATGATGAAATTAATTACATGGTATTTGACTTCCCCTAATACTAGCAGTATTTTATGATATGCATAACAAATTGGTGCCATAAAATGTTATAGTTCCCTTATTCTGTGTGGCCACTATGTTAATTGGTTGAACACACAAGGAAGATGTTATATTCAACCCACAGCTCCACATAATCTCAAACTAAATGTGTACATTAGTTGCAACACATAAACTGACTTACAACCTTGAAATTATCATAGACCAGCTAAGAATCACGATCACTCGTTTTGAAACATAGACATCACAAAAAGAATATTCAAGAAAATGGCATCTGACTCCAGGATTGTCACCTTGTATGCCCGTATAACACTTGCAGCTAGACAGATTGGTATGTACCAATTGACACAGTATAACACAATTTCTATCCTAACCAGTGCAAGCCAATCGTATTTCAAAAGGTATGCAGCACTAACACCACCCTTGATGTGACAGAATCCAATAAAAGCACCTAAACAGATGGGAAACTTCCTCATCGTGGTCAACTGACTCACTTCTTTTCACTTGATTTTCAATGTGATATTTTATTGTTTCGAATCACGCACTATGGTTATGACAACTTTGACTCAAAATCCAATACTTTTTAAGACACTTCCTGTGGTCTATAATGTAAGTGCCAAATGCAGAAACACAAATAGAACGTCTTTTTATTTGACTCAACCTAGTTAAATTCCAAGTCACATTTGGAGGTTATTGAGTAAGTCACAAGAGTATGCTCTTTGCAATATTATATAGTAACAGTAGATTTATTATAATGGGAGAGTTCTTAGCATTGCTCCAGAAATAAACATGTAAAGGTAGATAAGCATAGCCAAGAAGAAGAAAACAAACTCCATTTACAACAACATACCTAAAATAGCCTAGATACATTTTGAAAATTACAACAACATACCTAAAATAACCAATAAATAGATTCTAAGAAGGCAGAATGTATAGGCTATTTAGGCAAAAGAGATGACTTAGTAAATATCAAGGAGACTATTCTTGAGCTCTGTCTAGAAGCAACCAAGGAAAATTTTGAAGCAGACATCCCCAAATGCATAGGCGAGAACCTTTATAAAACATCTTAATGCTTATAATCTAAAAATTAATGAGACACACCATCCTGGAAGGTTACTAACACAGCTAAGGGATATATCTTACAATTCAAGGTAGCCAATATGAAGATGCACTTTATACATCCATCCATATAAGCATCAATACACCAAAAAATACAAACACAACCTGACAGACACATACTAAAAGGTGCAGCAAAAAAGAGGCTAGTTAAATAACTATAGAAATTATCATTGTCCGTATCAAACTATCTGAAGACATACAGTATAAGAGCTGGACCCCTCATATACAAAAAACATGATGTTGCTATTGTAACATCCGCACTGTCAATTTTTGAATTAAAGCTCCACGATTCTAGTGACACCGATAAAACAACTTCAACATGAACCTCAACAAATCAGGATGCGAATCGGACGTTCAAGAACTTGATACACCAAAAACAGAACACCTTCAAGATAAACCTCACACCAGATCGGGATGCTAAGCAGAGACTTAAGATCTTGATTAATGCTATTTGTATAAACAAGCTCGATGCTCCTCTAGGTGTGTCCTATGCATCATGATATATACCACTTCATGTTTGATGTTAGGTTGAAAAAATTGGTAATATTATATTTCTCAAAAACAATTCTAGATGGTCTGCAACATATAAACTAACATTCAGAGAATGGATACAACTTAACTCTGAAAATATGTAAGCCTAACTTTGAAACATGAATAAACAGCGAAGTCTTTACAAGATATGAGGACCTTTACTTTCGAACTGGAATTGAATTTCTCTCTTTATTAGACTCATACAAGGAAAAGAAATACTTTTATTCGTGAACAACTAGGTATTACTTCGATAGAGGATAAGATGAGATAAAATTATTTAAGATGGTATGGGCATATGTCTAGGAGACCTCCGAATGCAATAGTTAGAAGCAGTGAAATGATTAATGTTGGTAGTACGAGGAGAAATAGAGGAAGACCTATAAAAACTTTAATAGAAACTATGAATAAAGATTTAAGTACTCTGAACTTAACTAAACATATGGCTTTTTACAGATCTCAATTGCGACAAAAGATCCATGTAGCCGACCCCAAATAGTTGGGATTTACAGCTTTGCTATTGTTTTTGTTTTTGTTGTCTTAGACCCATACATAATTTCACATCTGCTATTGGTAAAACAAGAGCTAGAAATTTTTTTTACATATTCATTGACTGCATTATAATAAAGCTTAATGAAGTGGCCCTTGATATTCCTATTATTGAAAGATATTATCAATAACATATCACTGAAGTTCATTGGTTAAATGGTGTGTTTGAGTTCAATAGTAAGGTTGCTCCTTTGTGACCAAAATGACCAACTATCTCAGTTTAATAGTAAGTTTAATTCAGGGAAGTAATATTTCCGTTTTTAGGGTTGAGGTTCCATATGTTACCTCTTCCCACATCCTACATTCGTGAAAGCGTCATGCAGTGGGCCATAATATATTGGTACGTGTTGTGAAATGATATCATGAATCCATTTTAATGCATAAGCGAGAATATAAAAGAATGCCATCTCAGCATTCATATAATCAATCTCATCATCCCCATGAGAAATGTTTCATAAAAGAGAACAACCAACCCAGGAATTTAACAGGGCTCCCATGCTGACGCATGCTAACCTCCATAACAAATTTAATGCAGCAATGAAGTCTTTTTTTGGTGTCTTTTCAGCAACCACTGATGTAGTATCTGATTTTCTCTTTTATTTTTTCCTTCTTTGCTCCTTTTATTAATACTTATCACCTTAATAAAGTAAGATAACAATTCCCAGTTTTCGACAAAAAAAATAGTAGTGACTAGTGAATGCTTTGTAAGATATGGGAACTGCAACAAGTACCTGACCCAGAAGAGCAGGAACACAGTTGGGATCTTCCACTAATGCAATTCTAAACGATTCAGATGCTGTCTGAAGTTCACCTTTCGCTACATAAAGCTGACCTGTATGAAAGATCCAAAACAGCAAGTAAATATTTCCTATGTTTAAAGATGATCTCAGTTATGTGCATTTTCTCAGAAGGAAACCAAGTGATAATATTTCAATAAACCACAAGACTAACCTCATAATAACCAGAAAATTTTGCATAATAATACCTGTTGCAACTTGCACGCTCATTGCATTCGTATTTTATGTCGATTAGACAGGTTTTTCTAAGAAAAAAACTTGTGACTAAAGCACCAGAACATCATGTATGTTGTTTATCACAACAAAGTGTCATGGAAATATCATAAAGTTGTCAACATCCATAAAAGCACACAGACACAAAGACCCAAACAAGGCGAGACCCTAGGCACCTGAAAAGTCACTTCCTAGCACAACATGGCACATCCAGTTCTGGATTGCAATCACGAGGGACAAACCGCATGGCAAATTCTAGCAAGTAAAACCAAAGAAATGAACCCAAACCTTTCCCGATCCATGTATAGGGTTCATGTGCATCAATTCTTGATGCTCTATTATAGTACTGGGTTGCTGAAATAAAATGCTCCTCCTTGTCTCGTTGTTTTGTTTCAATCTTCCCCAAATAAGTGTAGTACGCAGCCAAGGCATTTAGTATAGCGATCCTCTCATACTTGACATCAGCATAATACTCATCGATCTCTGCAACAAAGAAAATATTATAAAGCACCTAACAAACATCTAAACACTCATTTAAATCGGTAAATAAAAATTAAACAGACGTCAATGGACTTCAGGCTTCTTTGTATTTTATAATAACTCAAAACAAAATCTTCCTTCAATAAGGTGGGAGAAAATAATGGTACCTGGGCTTGATCCTTCCTCCAAAATCTGCCGAAATTGGTCGAGTTTCCCTTGCTTAAAGTACTCTCTCTGTGTTGACACAAATGAAAAATAAGTTGACACTGTAGGAAGCAAATAAATGGTATTATTTTGAAATTATAAAATCAATGAACCAAGTGCTGATGTGCCTCAAGCAGATCAACAAACTTACATATTCTCCATTTACCAGGAAGCACAGAAAACCTTCATAGTTTAGTTTGGGCTTGACTAAGGTTCTCTTAGCACTGATCACAACGCTTGCCGATAGGAAAATCAGAAAGAGTATATTTGCTTTCCTTCGTTTCAATTGAATCAATACCAAGTCTATTCAATTGCAAACGAGGGTTTCGCTCTTATCCAAGGCTAAACATACGTCAGTTTTTTTTTTTTTTTTGCGTGACCGTGATGCTCTCACTTGGTTAGTCTAAGTATAAATGTAAGAAAGACTTCTTAGCTTTCTTGACTTGTGCAATGTAATTTCACACATCCTTCAGAACCTTGTTCAAAAAATACAGTGTATGATGGAATTTACACTTCTTATCTTTCTTCTCAGTATTGCTTCTTTGGCAATATTGGTCGATAAGCTTCGTTGTGATGAAATTTTAATCAAATTACAGTTCAACTATGCTATGCTATGTTACTCAATTATGCTATGCTAGTATATGATGGAATTTAATTCACTCTTACGTTCATATCATTGTGGTAGTTATACATTTATTTTATACGCAAAATTTCCTTATATGATGGAAATTATAAGGAATATTTTAGTCAATTATGCTATACTAGTACATGATGGAATTTAATTCACTCTTATGTTCATATCATTGTGGTAGTTATACATTTATTTTATAAGCAAAATTTCCTTGTGGCAACTTTCATTTTCAACCTAAACATCTCACTTTTGGAAGTAATAAATTAGCAACGAATAAATTTAAAAAGTAGTGCAAGATATAGTTCCTCAATTCCCTGCAAAATCCAACTATGTAAACCACCATTATAAAAATTTAAATTATAGTGAAAAAGAAAAAAATAGCAATTCTTGATATCCCTATACAGACACACACACACAAATCAAGAACAGCAGCAAGAATTATCAGCTTGTGGAAACACATCCAAAAAACTTCAAATAAAAAAGAATGATTAAGGATTATCCAAAGAAATTATGCTTTTTTTTTTGTCTGATGCTAGCTGAAACGAAGTGCAAACTTGAGTAACTCAGTTTCTTGCTAACCATAAACAAACAAAGAAATTAAAGCACGAGAAATCAATGACAGCAAAGGACAACCGCGTCAAAAAAACTAACTCTATACCTACAAAACTAGAGATTATTGAAACTTCTAGGAAGGGTCCAACCAGAGTCCAATTAGAAAGATTAAAAAGGACGACGGAACAGAGAGGGAAAAGAGCAAAATAAACGGGAATGGAAGATGGGGAGCCGACCGCAATGATGAGCCAGAGGTGGAGCGGAGCCTGCTCGGCCTTGAGGATGTCGATCATGTCGGTGGCGTCGCGAGGCAGATGATCGAGCGCCACCATCACCTCCTCCTCCGAGTTCTGGACCGGGATGTACACCACGCCCCCCATCATCCCCTTGCTCGATCAGCCACGCCCCCGATATTATGCCCTTCTGCCCCCGTTTCTCCCTCTCTCCCCCCTTCTCTTCTCTCTCTAGGTTTTTATGTCCCTTTTCCTTTCCCTCGCCCGTCTTTCTTTCTTTTAATCCAGAAACAGAAACCAATATACGAGTTGCCGATTAATGCTGCGTCTGGGTCGGGTTCGGGTTCGCGTTCGGGTTCGAGCAAATTTGCAGGAAGGGCCCACCATGTCTTTGAGCCGTTACACCTCTTGACATACGCAATCAAACTAACACTGCCAAGTGCGTCAAGGGAGCTTTCTTCAATGAAATAATTAATTAATTCTTAAAAGAAAAAAAAAACTAAAAATGCACGAAGGGTTTTACAGAGGTACCTATTGTTTAGTATCACGTGCGATGCATGTGACGATCTTAACAAGTTCTCCCTTATCGACGAAGTACAGAACTCCAATATCGATCACCAATTATATTGGCAATAAATCTATTCAGCATTCAAAAGTGAATTAGAAAAAATTGCCAGAAAAGCAATTGAGATTCCTAATTATCATTGTAAATGCTAATTGCACACTCAGAAGATTGTTATATTTCTTACAAGCACGAAGCAGCAATATAAGAAAATGGTATGATTCTCCGAAGCTTAGCGAGGAACCACTGCGAAACCAGACATAATGTGGAGCGCAGGAAAAGGGATCGAGAAAGCATAACGTCACAGATAACAGGAAGGGTAAGAAACCAGAGAGGACGGGAACAATTTACAGCGGCAAAGCAAAACGCGTCGGTTCAAAGAAGAGAGCATGGGATCAAGGGATGCCCATAAACAAAAGCCGTCAAGAATCTACTTCAAGAACTCGAATCGAGTCAAGAAAAGAGGCTACTCGTTCTTCGACTTCACGGCAAGAAGAACCCGGAACAACCAACCCAAGACACAAAGTACTGGTCGAAGCGATTTTACCTTCTCTCCAACGTCGAGCAACAAGTAAACGAACCACGAGAGAAGCAATCAAAAAACCACTTCGAGAGGTCAAAGCAATTGAAGAGAGGATGGATCAAGAACAATACCTTGCCGCCGTATCGAGTTCCTCTTGCTCGTTTCTCTCTCATGCTCAAACTCCAGATTATTATTTCGAGCCAGAGTTAGGCCGAAGCGAAAGAAAAGGGATCAAGAAGACATAAAGCAAAGGATCGCAGGAAGCGAAAGCAATCAGAAAGGAAGGAAATAATTTACAGCAGAAACCATCGGAGAAAACACATTCGAGAAACCAACTCGGAAACCAAATTGTGACATAATGAGCAACATCGATCACAGTTTGAGCCCAAACCGTGAATAGGAACGTTAGGAAACAAGAGGAACACACCTCTGAAACCACAGGATTGAGACGAGCAAACCGATTCAAGAAACCCCATCAAGAACTCGAAGCAAGCCCGGAAACCATCGGCGGAAAAGCATTCAAGAAATCAAGTCGAATCGAGTCAAGATCAGAGAAGAAGCATGGGATCGAGCGCATTGCCTAGTCTCTTCCGGCTGCGCGTGCGCCCTTCCGCTCTTCCTCCGGCTGCTCGCTCTTTCATTGCACGGCACAAACAAATCCAATTGCCCCAATAAAAGAAACAATAGGACTCTGCGCGTCGTCGAACGAACCGAGCTCGAGCTCAATACATCTGATTTAACCGCCCCGGGAGCCATGCAGATTTACCACGGACGAGGGTTCAGGAAGCTCCATCTCGACGTCACCCAGACGTGTCGGGCCCACCGCGGGATGATCCTGGGTCCGATCCGGATCGTAGCGGACGAGGCTGTGTAGCCCGACTCGGACCCTTCGTGTGATGCTGTTATCGGCGAACGCGAATCCGACGTGACCTGTGGGTCCCGTTCATCGCTAGCAAGCCACGTCGCCTCATGGCTGTCTCTTCCGCGAGAGTACGCTTCACGGTTCTCCCTGTCCAGCCACCGAAAGCTCACCACGTGGCGAGACTGACAAAAGGTGGTGGAAAGCCTTTGTTCCGTTCTCTTTTGATGCGATTCTTTTTTTCAGTCGTCGTCTCGAATGGCCACAATGCCTAGAAACTTGATAAGGTTGCTGCAATCGGCGATCTCACGATGCAGATGGTAGCAGCACCTTAAGGAGGTCATTGATGAGGCCAGAGCAGTCGAGGAGGCAGCAGCACCGGCCACAGAAGCCATGGAATCTGTGGAGAAGATAGCGTCGTCGCCGAAGAGGCCACCGAGTAAGCCAAGTCAGAGGCAGAGACTTCCACAAGAAACCACAATAACTCCAGCCGCCGAGAAGACAACTTAGCCTCCAGCAGCTCCGGCTGCGACGGACGAAGAGGAGGCTACGGAGGAGAGTGGGTGTTGTTGAGCTTGAGCGTGGAGTCAGGAACCCAAGTAAATTCTCGACACCGTATGATTGACAGTAGGCGTAGTAAAATCCTTTTAGAGTTCATATCATCCAATGCCATGTGTCATGGGTATATGTTCTGAGTTGTAGTCCTTATCGAAGTACATAATTGGAGGGTCCACGATTTCCCCATCTCGGAATCCCAGGTTCAGTCATGTGTCATGCATGTTTCTGTGGTGGCAGACCACCACACGCGGATAAGACTGCACCAAGCACATGATCTCGAGCCTTTGTACTACGAGGAAGATAAGGTTTCTTATTGAGTTGCTTGCACCTTTTACAACTCCATGATTCTCTCCTTCAACATATGGTTAATGCACGTCATGTCACGTAGCATCACTTACCTAATTTTTGGCGAAATATTATTCTATGCTTCAGGCATATATGTGCTTCATCAAAATAATAGTCGATAATCCTCACTCGAAATCTTATCTCCAGCAGGATACGTACATGTGATTCCTTAATATCATAATTACTCCATAAACCCTCACCTGAAATCTTATCTCCAGCAGGATACTTACATGCTTGGTCTAGAAAATGCTCCCCCAGGAATCACATCAGTGACGGTGACGACCAAGCCAACAACATGCTAAATGCTTAATCTTTCCACCTACGAATTAATTTGAATCATGTAAAATTAATATTTGATAGGATATATTCCAGCATCTCTCCCGTAGTCAACCATCACATCAAAACCAATGTTGATTTACTGCATCAACATTTCACAATAAACTCGTATGAGATAGTCATACCGCATGTCTACTAGTATGCCCACATCACCTCGAGACTGTATGAGACGATGCTACATGGTACAAGGTAGCTCGGGAAGTGCAAAGCAACGTCGTGCTGTGCAGGATTAAGCAGGTTGGTTAACACCTGTAGGGCGTACAAACCAGCCACTTAAGATGTTGACGACCTCATACAACCATCTTCGATTGTGGATATAAAAGTCGACATATGGGCTAACATATGAGAGGACCTCGAACACCCAAACTCGTATACCTTTTTTTTACTGACTTAAGTTTCAGAGGAATCAGGTCGAAGAATTCACTTTCAATCTCGACTTATGTGCAGGAATTAGAAGCTTAACGTAGAAAGACGAAGCACTATAAAACGCACCCAACTTGATCTACCTTGGACCGACTCCAATCTGGCCTTAACTCATGCTAACCTAGAAGTCACGTTTGACGACTTTACGCATATGTCCCGGACCAAACTGTGCTGACTCCTCGGTTACGATATACAGTTACACAATAATATTAATGTTTTAACATTAGCTGCGACTCAACGAGGAGTTCCGATGGCATATTGCAACTGAACATTAAATCAAATAAATCTCTATCTAAATCGAAATGTTCTTTCCCGCACAGAGAAAGGTATGAAGGCGTGCAGTCGGTGCAAGCTCGGGCAATTGCGTAGTAGGTAGAACGTTGAAGAGTGCACTCAAGGATGGAAGCTAATTCCAAGCTGACAGTCCTCACCAACCAGCAGTAATCCAAGCGTCGCTTTTGTGTGCCAGATTGGGAGTCCTTTTCCCCTTCTTGTATTGGCCCCAAGGCAGTCCAAAGGTCACAAGAGAAGCCACAGGACGGGCGAAGACGAGAGCTGCGTTGGCCATTTCTGCGGCGAGAAGTCACAAAGGCGTCCTTGTGGGTGCCTCCCCGACTCTAAAATAAATACGCTGTGGAGTCAATCACAGAGAGATCGTTTCGCGAGGGTCACATTTTCTATTCCTAAGTTCGAACATGTTTTACGGTCCTCTGGAATATGCTCGCAGCCCTTCTTCCTACTCCTCGCATGGCTGATATCTGGAAGCGTGGCTTGACCGGAGATGATCACTGTGGACGACATCTGTGCATGCTTCTACCGAAAGCATGGAGTCTTTTATTAATGCTACAGAATCATTTTCTTCTAATTTTTAATCGTGATAATGTTCGACCTCGTTCTGTCAATTGATATACCTTTCGAAGATCGAGCGACCGACAGAGCGACACCCTTCCACTGGATTTGCTCAGATGCAACACGTGATGCACTTACGCCGGACGGACGGATAAGAATACGCATGGGACCCTGAGACACGTCCACCGGAAGATGCCTGACAGAGACGTCGCTGGGTGGTGGCAGATTACTAGCCGTCAGATCAGGAATCGACGGGCGTGATGTTGGGTTGCTGGTGCCCGTGGTTCTATCTTCTGCGTGGTTTGTCCCTGTCAACTTTTCTTTTCTATCATCTCCTTTTTTTTTCTTTTTCTTTTTTTTGGGTTTAAAGGTCACATAAAAAAGAGTTGATATTGGAGGAAATCTCAACTCTACTGGACCTTATCGTTATCCACACAAACGCCTTACTCGCGGGACCCACTTTCTAAGTGGCCAACCACCATATGACTTTGGCCCACGTCACTCGTGCCACGTCATCCACATGGTCGATCGCCGCGTATCAAATCCAGATCTCTTACATTACACGCGCCAAAAAAAGAAAAAGAAAAATAATAATAATAAAAGAAGAAACTCGTCACTATTATCCGCCGCCGCAGCCTTCGTCTCAACGGGTTCGGGCGGCAGGAGTCGCCGGGAGAGCCGTCGCCGGGAACCCCACCGCCCTGCACTTGATGTCGCCTTCTGGGACGGTAGCGGCGGCAGTGGCGGCGGCGACGAGGGAGGCCGGCAACGGGTTGGTGGTTCGCCGGTATGGTCCTAGCCACTTGGCGAGCATGTAGCGGCTCTTGCGCCACGGCGGCACGTGCAGACCCTGTGCCCGCAGCGACCTCCTCGCCGCGTCCGCCACCGCCCGCACCACCTGCCGCACCGCCTCCTCTCCCGCCACCGCCACCCGCGGCACCGCCGCCACAACGCCCTTGTATGCTTCTGTCGCCCTCGCCACCTCGAACTCCGCGGCGAAGCCCAAGTCCACGATGTACCTCCTCCCCTGCCCGTGTCCATTTCCTCGCGCCGCCACCACGTCGATGTACTCGTGGTTCCCGGCGGCAAGCCCCCCGGATGCTTCCCACCTCGCCTTGCAGATCCCGGCATTGTAGCCCGCCGCCCTCAGTTGCGCCATCACCGTCCGCCTGAAGACTGAGGCGCCGCAGCTCGAGCTCAGCCAGGCGAGACCCTCAGTCGCCCTGGATACGTCAGCGGCTAGCCGTACCCGAAACGAGTCCAACTCGGCCACAGCGCGCATCAGCTCACAAACGGTCTCTGCGGCGACCCGATCCCGGTCCTCGTCGGCGTCGACGCCCTCGACGCTATCGTCACGGTCGGATCCTCCACCGCCCCCGTCGTCGGCAGCGGCGGAGGGCGTGTCGTAGTTACCACCGGTCTCGAGGAAGTCGTGGACGAGGCCGGAGAGGCAGGTTGCGCCGCCGTGATCGCTGCCGCTGCTGGCGCAGCTAGCGGCGCGGCCGGGGTCGTCGCCGCGGAGGCGCGCCCTCGCCTCGTCGTCGAGTGGGCCGGTGACCCGCTTCGCCCGGATTTGTACCGCCATCTCTCGATTCTTCACGCCAAAATGCAGTGGGAAGAGAGAGGATTAGCACTCCACGGGAGGGGTCACAGACGCGGAGGGAGGAGGACGAAGGAGATAGGTGGGCCTTTTATAGGAAGGGGAGACAGGATACGGAGATGGTAGGGGCCACGCGGGACCCCCATCTTCTTCTCAATCAAAGGCAGGTTGGAAAGTCGGGTAAACGAACCTCGCGTGCAAGAAGAATTGCGCTCCCCTGGTTCTAATCCGGCGTGTTCTGGACTCCAAACCGATCGCTTCGACGCAGACTGACGGTGGGAATATTCTTCGGAGATGCTGTCACTTTTCTAGTCTCCATTGCCTTTTCCATCTGTTCTGATCTCCAGACAATAACATAAAAATCGAATTACTATACATTTTACATAGAAAAACACTTAAATAACATGCTTTTAATTTTGTTACTAATAACAGGGGCATAAATTGGGGATGCCACGTGGCGACATAAGCTTGGCATACGGTGCTTCATGCACGTGACGGCTAGCGACGGACACGCGCGCGTTTGGCAAGTTCGGGCGCCGGGATGCGTCGCACACGTGTAAGCGCGAGGGGGCGGGTGGCTCTTGGCGGAGCAGCAGGGGCAGCTGGTGAGACAAAGGACGGGCCCATCATGAGGAGAGAGAGAGAGAGAGAGAGAGTGAACGCTGGGC